CCACCCCCCCCCCCCCCCCCCCCCCCCCGTATATGCAAGTACAATGTTCCCACAATAAGCCAGTACTTGATAAACAAGTAAATTTATGTAACTATCAAATTTTGTATTGTTTTGTTTATTCAAGAGGTTAAGTCCTGTACAACAGTTTAGGCTGGCGCTATTTTTAGAAAAAGAAACAACGAGCAGAAGAACACAAGAATGTCATTAGCAGTGTTCTACTAAAACAGTATATTGTAGGGGTTGTATAATGATTAAATACCAAGATTGTTCTTTTCATGCAATACTAAAGTCTACTTAAAATGACTAAATTCTAGTGACTTACAAGAAGTTGAACTTCAAAACAATCTTAAATAATGTGAAAATTTATAGAATTTTATATATGTGGTTATACAACAATTCAAGGTATTCGATTGATGTATATATAGGGAAATATTAAAATGACCTAGGGTTTTACTAAATCAACTCATCTATCATCACGAAGCATATAAAATGTCAGCTTCATCTACATCATCATTACTTTGATCCATATGTAAATTGATACAATAATGGTTTTTTGAAATTGAGATTGGTTCAATAATGGTCATTGGACTAGTAACAACAATTGCTTATCAACAACTTTATTTAATAGTATCTTCTCTTTATCCTATATTATTAGGAATATATTTTATTGTTTATATATTGATTAGATGTCCACTTACGTTACATGCACAATGTATCTAAGGTACTACTCAATGGCACTTTATAGTATAAAATAGAGAACACAACCATGGTCCTTCATCATCTCTTATAGGACATTTAATTGCTTGATGTCTCTAGCCATGAGAGAAAGAAATGACAACTTGAATGCTTCTAGCAATAGTACCTTCAAAAAATATTTTGACTGCACTACATGAAAAAAAATCCTAGAAGTCAAGTTATTGCATGTACTATTTATAATAAACATCAAACATTGCGTCAAATTGCCCTTGATGCTTGTGCTTCTATTCTCACTTATAGAAACCCTGTAAGACGATGCATATTAATTTACTTATTAATATAATGAAGACAATAAGATAACATTTTTTTTTTGCCCATTCAAAATATATTGATGTCTTCATTATATTAATAAGAATCCATCATAATAAAAGAAGTGTATTTCTTTGTTAATTATTATGATGGATTTTACTTATAAGATAAATTGATCTAAAATATTAATATTACATATAGTAGGAATAGTTAGCTTTAATACTTCTTTTACAATTGTTGTTGCTTTTTTCCAAGAAAAATCAAAAGATATATATATATATATATATATATTTGATTTTTTATTTAACTTGTCTAATTGTATAGAAATATCCGATCTATTTGCATTGGGTCTAATAGAGATTTGACATTAATAAATGCCATTGATTTTTTTTTTTTTTTTTTTTTTTTTTTTTCTACTTCTAATGTTTTACTTTGCATATGGCACATTCAAAAAAATATTTTAGCAAAATGTATTTCACCACAAAGATAGAAGTGAGTTGGTCTATATTTATGGCACATTGGATCAATGTGATAAATGCTTCTACTAAGGCACTTTACAATCAAGAGTGGACTATCCTTTCTACCAAGTAAACTCCCACGAATGCCCATGCAGTTGTTAAGTATTTGAGAAATATCTAGATAGCACCAAAAAAAACTATTTGTTAAAGCATTAACAAATAAATATCTTTATTTTAGAAATATCACTACATCTTGAGTTGAAGATAAGCATTCAACTCTTAAATCATATTGAAAAGTTTCTACCAAAGATATATAAGAGGTACAAATTGTCTATTTCAATTTTTTAAAAATACAAGAAGAGAGATTAATACACAAGAAAGTTTAGAAAGGACTTGTGTATGTTATCGACATACCATTCTTTTTTTCACATATGTTATGAAAAAAATATCTATTTATGAAGTCAACCTTCTCTTTGAACAATTTAAATTATACCGAAGAGATGTTTGATGTTAACTTTTGAACATGTACATTGACAAAGACATTAAAAATAACATGTAATCATAAAATTTAAACTATGCAACAAACTAGAGGTACCTTGTCAATAGAGCACTTTTATGTTTAGTATTATTTAGTAAATACTATTGACCTAATATCTCCTATACCACTAAAGAATGCATTTGTAACTTTCAAAGACCTTTCCAATATCTTTGGTGTTGTTGTTTGAACTTTTGAATTACTATCTCCTCCTCTCCTCACCAACAAGAAAGAATGCATCTTTAATTGATGGAGTTTCAACAACTATGAAGTTAGAAAATCTAACAATTAATTGTTGAAAGGGTAGACTGCATAAAGCAATTAAATATATAAGATACAACAAATCTTCTACAAAATATATAATTTTACAATTTGAAGCTCTTAAAGAAGCAACAAAATATTCAACATTATAAAATTTGTCAAGGTTGGGGATACAACATGCATACTTATTTTATCCAAAATATAACAACTTCATAAGTATCTACAAGTATATCACAATTCTATTGAAATTAATAATAGATATGTGCAGTTGCTTATTTAAACAATAGACTAGTTTGTATACAAGTGGTGAAAAATCAGTTTGTACAATGATGTAAGAGGAGTTTATAATCATGATTTTTTAAGATGTATAATTTCTATTCTTGCACAAATTAATATAAATATGTGTTATTGGGCAGATTTAGAATACCATGTAGATATCTATTCAATCTTTAAATAGAATTTAATATTATAGAAACAACATGTACAAAATATTAACTACACACTTTGTTTGTATGGCTTTAAATAATCTATTAGTGGCATTGGTTCGACCATTTTTTTTTGCTACTACTTTTGGCTTAATCTACCTCTTTCTTAAGGATTTATATATAATTTTTTTTTTTTTTTTTTTTTTTTTTTTGAGCAAGTCTAACATCTAATACATTATAATTGAAATCATAATAGGTATTAATAATAACCATGGATTTGTGCACCATGGCTATTGATGCAAGTTGATTACATCACTAATATAAACAATTAAAGAGTACAAAAAAATTCAAATCTAATTAAAAATTATACTAAAGAACAATACTAAATACAATCACAACAATTTTAGAAAGAAAAACAATAACTTAATGTATTATATTTACTATACTTCATCAATCTTTTTTTAAGGATTTAAAAAAAAAAATCAAGTAAAAAAGAAAAAAAAAATTATACAATCAGCTTGTTTTCTTATTCCACATGTTAAACAAAAATATAAAGAATTTAGTAGGTTTATATATTACAAACTATGCTTTCTATCCATACAATCTGTTTTCAAAACTTGCAAAAATTATAAAGTAATACGATTCACTAAAAGTTAAGTGACTCGTTCTGCGAAGGTAAAAATCGTCAACTTCATCTATAATTGTTTGGCTTACTTTAGGGCCGTTTACACTTGGTTTGGGCACAATATCTAGTGTGGTGCACACAATAACCTCATTTTAATTATTGTGAGCTTTTGCCACTATTTCAATTTTACTTTTTTCCTTGTTAACTTTAGCCTACAATGGTTCCTCTAAAACATCTAAAGAGAGAGGTCATTGATTATGAAGTGGCACACCCAATTCTACATTAAAGTTGAACTTGAATGCAATACCAACAACAATATCAAAAAACCACCGAAGTGCTCTTTATTGTTGAATAATCAACTCGTCAACACTTACCCAATATTTGGCCAAGCCAAATCTAAGTTAAAAAATCACAAGTTTATACCTTTCAAAAAAATTGTATAAAAAAATAAAAAAATAAAAAATCTAACTTAATCATGTAGTAATTTCAATGAAGATCCATGCAACAATGGTAGATCAA